ATTGTATATATACAATTTAATACATTTCAATAATTCACATTCACACGACATGCAGGCGAACAAATAAAATACTTAATTCTAAAAATGAACTATGCATTAGATGTAAGTGTGTGCGTGTGTATGTCACTCACCTGTGCAGTGTGTGCCGTTGCCACGGTAACCGCGCTGACACACACAGCTGTAACTGCCCAGTGTGTTCTCACACTCGCCTCGGCCGACACACACATGCTGCTCCTCCACACACTCGTCCACATCTGAGAAACAACATCATCATCTGTTCATTGCATCTCTCTTTAGTTGAATTACACACTCTTACAGGATTTACAACAAAAATCCATCAGGTAATGCAGGTAAATTCAGCAAAAATCCATCAGGTAATGCAGGTAAATTCAGCATGCAGTAAGTCATGAGCAAACAAAAGTGAGCTTTCAGAGATTTGAAACTCAAAAGGATGAGTTCAGCAACTACCTTCACATATAAGAAAACCTGGACACTGAGCACCTGAGAGACAGACAGACAGATTAAATCAAGCTGCTGGTTAACAACAGCCAAAGCTTTACACTGCACATGAACACCAGCATGCAACTGAATCAATGACATGACATCTTCTCAGATATTACTGCATTAATGCATATTAATCGAAAATGCATTCAAAATGGCATTCAAACTTTGCATAATTCCAATGTTAAAGATTTTTAATGCACAATTTTGTGGCAAAAAAGTAAAACATGTTAACAAAGTCCTGAGAATGAAGAAAACATCTCAGTAATAGGGTAAAATATTGAAGAATTATAAAGAGTTCACAAACTGACAATTGTTACAAAATAAATACATTTGTTGTTTACATTTTTTTTTTTTTTTATTATAATTTTTTCACACTCATGATTAAGATGCATCACAGGCGTGACAAAACCATTGAATTATTAAACGATTGCTCTACCTGACATTTTTAGAGTCATCAAATAAAACCTTTTCTTGAAAACAGTATAAATGTTTTCAAAAACATATGAACTAACAGGAAAACATTTCATTTCTAATAACTAAGCAGCAGGGTTATTACTATAAATTATACTAACAAAACTAAAACCATAAAACAATTTTTGTTACTTGAAATAAAATAAACTTTAACTGAAATTAAATATTTAAATTATAAATTAACTATTAAATTATTTAATTGAATCTATATAAACATTTCTCATTTTCAGATAAACTAGATGTACTAAAATAACTAAAATCAAAACTTAAATAAAAATGAATGAAGAACTACATAAAACAACTAATGAAATCTAATAAAAATGACAAAAACAAACTACAAATTTACTAAAACTTTAACTAAAATGAAAAAAAAATTAACAGAAAATATGAAAATACAAACAAAATCTAAATTCTTAATAAAAACTCGATACTAAACTAACCCTGCGAAGCACATGCATGTAAAGTAGTTCTTTACAAAAATTTCTCTTTATCATAACATCTGTCGCTCTCGCTCGACTCTAGGTTCAGACACAGAGCGAATGATAAAGATATATGGGTTAATACTACGATCACAGACAGACAGACAGACAGACAGACAGACAGACAGAGACACACACACACACACACAGACAGAGACACACAGACAGACAGACAGACAGAGACACACAGACAGACACACAGACAGACAGACTCTTACCCACACACGCGGCTCTGTGCTCTCTGAATCCAGCCTGACACACACACGTGTAGCTGCCGTCTGTATTCACACACACGTTACCCAGCTCCCTGCGGCAGCTCTCCTCGAAATTACATTCGTCAACATCTGCAGAGACACAGAAGAGTGTTTAAACATTCACCTGACTCTTTTCCATAATCAGCTCACTTGTAACGTGCAGAAGAACTGACAGATATTCAACAAATATGGGTGAATTTTCATTTCATGTCAACTTTAAAACTGAAATAAAAACAGAAAATATAAAAAGTTGCAAAGGAAATATTTCTCATTTTCATTTAGTTTATTTTGATGTACTGAAATAACTAAAACAAAAACTACACATTTTTTACATATATATAAAAAAAAAACACACTACAAAACTAAACATTCAACTAAAAAACCCATAAAAAACCATATAGACATACTGAGAAAAATAAAACTAATAAAAATGACAGAAACAAACTACAAAATTACTTTCACAAAAATGAAAACAGAAAATATAAAAAAATTAAAACTAATTAAATGAAACACACACACACTGAACGCACCGACACAGTTGTGTCCGTCGAGCGCCAGCACGAATCCCGCCGGACACGAGCAGGTGAAAGATCCCGGTGTGTTTGTACACACGGCTCCACTTCCACACGCCTGCAGACCTGTTACTGCAGCTAACACACACTCATCTACATCTACAACACACACACAACACACACAATAACTAACTACACAAGACAACTAGTCACAGTGTTTTAAACTCATAAACCTAGCTGCAAACGAAGAATACGGCTTATGTAAAAGTAATAGTTCACCCAAAAATGAAAATTGCCTGAAAATGTACTCATTCTTAGGGCATCCCAGATGCAGATGAGTTTGTTTCTTCGTCAGATTTGTAGAAATGTAGCATTGCATCACTTGCTCAGCAATGGATCCTCTGCAGTGAATGGGTGCCGAGTTTTTAAGTAATGTTCATTTTTGAGTGAATTGTATCTGCTGTTCATAGTTCATTTTCTCTTTTAATTTGAAGAATCTCGCTGAGAAAGTTAAAGTTAGTCCGTTGACACCGTTTCACAGAAGCTTGTGTTTATATCATGTACTTGTATTGAGTTTCTCATGCACACCTTTACATCCTTCCGCACTCATCAGGTAACCACGGAAACAGCTGCACAGGTAGGATCCAGGTGTGTTTGTGCAGTTGGCATGGTAACCGCAAGGCCCCAGGTCGCCCTGGAGACACTCATCAACATCTGAAATACAGGAAAAGTACATTTAACATAATAATGTATTCTTTATTATTTATTATTCAGAATATTACAACACTTTCAGTGAAGGTATACTGTTGAAGATCAGTATCACTAATATAGTAAGAAGACATTCTCATAAGTGTGTGTGTGTGTGTGTGTGTGTGTGTGTGTGTGTGTTTGTGTGTGTGTGTGTGAGTTTGACCTGGTAATGAAGGTTTGTGTGTCGTATCGCTCAAGTTGCCGGTGGTGAATGTAACTTCAATCTAAATGCAAACACACATTAGAGTTAATTAAAGTAAAACTATAGCATTTAACAATTTTATGTAACTTGAAATAAAATAAATATTAACTAAACTAAACCAAAATATATATTTTAAATAATTATTTTAATTCAGCTATTTGCCAAGGCCACATTTTGCATTTTCATTTAGTTTATCTTGATATACTAAAATAACTAAAACAAAAAAAAGGAATGAAAACTATATAGACATAAAAAAAAAAACTAATAAAAATGGCAAAAACAAACAACAAAATTACTAAAACTTTAACTAAAATTAAAATTACAGGAAACTTTCTGCATTTTTAGATTTTCAACAAACATAATTCTGTGTGATTTATTAGCTTGTTTACGCATGGGGACCTCAATTTAGGGGGACACGAGTCCCCGTGAGTCTGTGTGTATTCAGGTTTATGTCCCCACCAGAATAGAAGAACAGGTACACACACACACACACACACACACACAGTGGCACACCACACACACACACTCACTCACTCCCATACACAACCTCTACACATTATATATGTATATTTGTCATGCAAACACAGTTCTGACTCTTTGGAAGTCGTGCAAACACTTTAGGACACAACTAGTTGAGTAATCAAAAACACAGCTTACTTATACATACGTTCTGTTACATTGCATTACAAAGCTGCAGTATATACATTACAGCTGCACTCATGAAATGATTCGCATAAAGAAACGTAAGCATCGACAAACAATGCAGCAAAGCAGGCCACAAAAGAAAGATTCAACATCATCTCTGTGTATTTAATTTATAAATGATTTCACTTAAAAACACACCTGAAATAGCGGAGAGCTCGCGCAGCACAATCCCAGCGAGCAGATGCTGGATCTCTGAACGACTCTTTAACTGACTCGGGAATCACGACTCCCCAATGAATCATGAAGGAGTTGTTAAGAAAAGACTCGCGTGTGAATTAAAACGCCGTATTCCGTTTAAATAATATTGTAGTTTTAACGTTAACACTGCTGTTTTAAGGCACCAAAAACACAACGAAAATGTCTTAATGACTGAGTTAAAAGATTTGTTCTTTTTACTGATTCGTTCATTTGAATCAAATAAACGCGAGAATCCTGAGTCACTCCAGCTGAGTGAAATTGATTCTACATCCTGCAGTTTAACTCTTTCCTGTCCATTCAGGGACAAACTATCAGTACAATGGACATTCACATTGTGCAACAAAAACAAAGTATTGTAATGTGCTGATGTCAAAGCACCTTACAAGAGAAAGAAAGAAAATATTTTTTTAAATGTTAAATGAGCATTTTATTAGCCTTTAAAGCATCAATCTCTAAATAAACAACTCAGCAAACATGATAATTGAGAGCGTCAATTTATAAATGACTGTAAATATTTATAAATTGTTTTCTATGTTGGTGTTTTATATTGTTTAAATGTTCTTTCTACATTTAAACATTGTTTAAATCTAATATATGTAAAAACAATGAAAGGAATATCATCAATCTATCTTAATAGCAAGCTATTTGAATATATACTCACTGTATGCAATCTGAATATTTGTCCACCAAATATATATCTGAATATCTATCAAATATTTATCAGAAAATATATCAATCCATCATCTGAATATGTATCCATCTGTATATCTATCCTTCTGTCTGAATATCTATCATCAAATATCATATCTATTTGAATATATCAATCTATCTTAATGCCAATCTTTATGATAGATCTTGAGAACGACAGCTTCTCTCAGAAGGAAACTGATTCATTTCCTAGCAGCTATAAGAAATGCATTATGCTGTATTGAAATGTGCCAAGGAGCACGTAAAGACCTAAATTACACATCAAACAGCGGTTTACCTCCGGGGTGGCTCGCCAAAAACACCAGCAATGGATCTCATGATCACAAACATAGAAAAAAGCTCTTAAACAGTGCCAATGTTGACTGTAATTCTCATTTGTATCATAAACATGTTTAACGAGATGCGTGAATATCAAAGACAGAGACCAAGACAAGCAAACACATTTGAGCGGTTTTATTCACTGATATTCGTCCAGCAACAGTAGCATGACTGTTTTCGTGTGTGTGTGTGTGTGTGTGTGTGTGTGTTAGATCTTGTTGAACGCCGCAACATCCACACTCTGAACCTGCAACAACACAAAACAAACATGTCAAGCTGCACGTGACATTTGAAGACTGAAGCGCAGTTTATGGGAACTTTACTCACGTAGTCCTCAAACTTGGTGATCTCCTCCTCCAGGAAGTCTGTTCCCACCTTGTCGTCCTCCACCACGCAGTTGATCTGCAGTTTCTTGATGCCGTAACCCACAGGAACCAGTTTGGAGGCTCCCCACAGCAGCCCATCCACCTGTACCGACCGCACACACTCCTCCAGCTTTGCCATGTCCGTCTCATCGTCCCACTGCGAACGCCAGGAAAAACAGTTTAAAAACCTTGAGAAGCCTGGCCAGAAAGATTGATGCCATTTAAAGGGGTCATATGATGCGATTTCAAGTTTTCCTTTCTCTTTGGAGTGTTACAAGCTGTGCATAGATAAGATCCCTAAAGTTGCAAAGACTAAAGTCTCAAACCCAAAGAGATATTCTTTATAAAAGTTAAGACTGGTCCACGCCCTCCTAAAACGCCTCGTTTAAACACGCCCCCACATGTCTACGTCATTGTGTGGGAAGATTTGCATAACGCCGCCCAAATGTTCACGCAAAGAAAGAAGGTGTAACTTTATTGTTGCTGCCAACGCCGCCGCGGCCATGTCGTGAAGACACTGTGTGTTTCGTTGTGAAAGCGAAACTACTTTGTTTGGTCTTCCAAAGGTTTTAAGGTAATTCAGTCTATCAGACAAATGGATAGACTGTCATGCGGTGACTAGGGTATTATGAATGGATGCTTAGTGGTTGCTAGGGTGTTCTCTGTGATTGCAAAGGTGCTGTTAGGAAGTTCTGAGTGGTTGCTAGGTGGCTGATAGGACATTGTAAGGTGGTTACTGGGTGTTCTGTGTTGCTGTTGATTTATAGTGAGTTCTGAACATTTGCTAAGGCTTTGCTACACGATTACTAGTGTGTCCTGGGTGGTTGCTAGGGGGTTATGGATGGTTGTTAGGGTGTTGCTAGGGGTTTTGGGTGGGTGCTAGACAGTTGCTGGTGTATTCTGGATGTTGCTAGGGAATGTTCTAGGTTGTTGCTAGAACAATGCAAGATGGTTACTGGGTATTCTGTGTTGCTGTTAGAAAGTTGTTATGTGGTTGGTAGGGTGTTGTGAATGTTTGTTAAGGCTTTGCAATGCAGTTGTGTTCTGGGTGGTTGCTGTGTTACTAGGGTGTTCTGGATTGTTGCTAGGAGGTTGCTAAGGTGTTTTATGTTGTTGCTATGTGTTACTGGGGTGTTCTGGGTGGTTTGGTTGGGCATTGCTGGGGGTTCTGATGGTTGCTAGGTGGTTGCTATGGTGCTCTAGATGGATGCTAGGTAGTTTCTTGATGTACTGGGTGGTTTAAATGAAAATTTGAAATATTGGCAACTAACCAAAATAAGTTACATTTGTACAAAATTACTAAGAACTAAAACTGAAAAAGATAAAACTAAATGAAAAAATAAAAGATTAAGCTAAAATTAAAAATTACAACTCAAAATAAAAAAATAAACACCAATTCAAAATATTAATAAATAACATAATACTAAATTAATAGTGCTAAAATAACACTGGTTGCTGTTGTGTTCTAAGTGCTTGTTAGGGTGTTGCTATGCAGTTGCTAGGGTGTTCCAGGTAGCTATTAGGTTGTTTCTATGTGGTTGCTATGCAGTTGCTAGGGTGTTCCAGGTAGCTGTCAGGTTGTCTCTATATGGTTTCTATGCGGCTGCTAGGGTGTTCTACACTCTAAAAAATGCTGGGTTGTTTCAACCCAATGTTGGGTCAAATATGGACTAACCCAACTGTTGGGTTAAATTTTGGTTCCCTTTCAGTCAGTCACGTTCGACGTTACGTCAGTCGTGACTGACGAATTGGGATGCAGCGTGGAGCTGGCCGCAGGAAACCGGCGAAGCCCGCCTCTGCCCCTGCCAAGCCCGTGAAGCACCAGGGCAGGCGGCGTCCCTGTGATGGGCGACCCGGAGCCCTTGGATCCTGCTCTTCAGGAGATGGTGTTGTTCCAGGTAGCTATTAGGTTGTTTCTATGTGGTTGCTAGGGTAGTCCAGGTAGCTATTTGTTTGTTTCTATGTGGTTGCTATGCAGTTACTAGGATGTTCTAGGTAGCAGTTAGGTTGTTTCTATGTGGTTTCTATGCGGCTGCTAGGGTGTTGTTCAGGTAGCTATTAGGTTGTTTCTATGTGGTTGCTATGCAGTTACTAGGGTGTTCAGGATGGTTGCCTGTTTTTCTGGGCAAAACATTTTAGAACTAGAACATTTAAGAATACTTCCAAGTCATGTGTCAACAAAATAAAAATACTTACTGGTTTGACGTCTAACAGGATGGATGATTTAGCGATGAGGGCAGGTTTTTTGGCCTTTTTGGCAGTGTATTCCTGCAGCCGTTGCTCTTTCAGTCTCTCGGCCTCCTCGTCCACCTCTTCATCGCTGCCGAACAGGTCGATGTCATCCTCATCCTCATCTTCCTCCTCCTGTTTTGCTGGAGCGGGCGGGGCTTTCTGGGGAGAGGCAGGACCGGTGCCGTTAACGGTCGGTGCTGTCAACCGTTTCTCTAGCGCTGACACGCGACTCTCCATCTTACTAAGAGCAGAACGCAGCTCCTCCACCACTGAGAAACACAACAAGAACAATTAAGCAAATGCTTGCAGAAGATTAGGCAAAATGTAAATAAATGACAGCTCATATGCAAATATTATGACATCACCACCTACAGATGTCCAAGTAAATATTATGTTTTATTTCATATGAGGTTTGCTAGAACTAAATCTAATGCATGGGATTAAGAGAGATAAAGACAGAATAGATGCTTAATGCATGCAAACAAGTTTATTATCATTAACCAAAACTAAAATTAAAAATAAATACAATTATTTTTTTAATAAAAAAAATTTAATAAAAAAGATAGAAATATCAGATTTAATCAAATAAACTAAATAAATAAATTATGTAATGTAATTAAGTTGAAGCACTAAAATTAATTTGAAATAATAGACTAAAACTGAAATAAAAACAAATTAAACCTAAACATTCATATTTAAAAAGAAAAAAAAAAAAAAAAAAAAAATAAAATTAAAAAAAAAACTAAAATTAAAATGAAAACTGAAAATAAAAGCTAACATTAATAATAACTATAATATTATATAAATAAAAAACTATAGTAGTAAAAAAAAATTTATATATAAAAAAAATTTAGTAAAAATTACTAAAACGTACATTAAAATTAAATTGGAAACTGAAAATAAACTGCAAACTATAATAAACAATAATAGTAATAAGAAAAATCAATAATATAAAAACTATATAAAAGCACATAGTAAAATTACTAAAAATGAAAATAAAATGACATTGAAAAG